AGCAACTGGGTAGCTCAGTTGGTGAGAGCATCATCCTCATACACCAAGGTTGTGAGTTCAATCCCCAGTCAGAGCTCATATAAGAACCAGCCAATGAATGCATAAATAAGTACAAAAATTAACAAAGAAAGAACAAGCTAGTTAATAGTGTTCAGGTTTCCTTAGCTTTTTTCTACCTGGTCCGTGTTTTATTGATTACTGAGAGAGAATTTTTGAATTTCCTAACTGGATTATAGATTTTTCGCTTTCTTATTTTAGTTCTGTTGGTTTTTACTTAATGTATTTTTGAAGCTCTGTTAGTAGTTGTGTACACAACTGTGATTGTCAAGTCTTCTTGGCGAATTGAACCTTTCATCACTATGTAATGTCCCTCTTCATCTCGGTAATGGCCCTTCCTTCGAAGTCTGCTTCTTCTGATCTGAATGCCGCCAGTCCAGTTTGCTCCGATGAGTGTTTGTGTGGAAACCTTATTCCATCTATTTGCTTTTAACTCACGCATTTTTTTATACTTAAATCGGGTTCCTCGTAGACAGCATATTATTGCCTCTTGCTTTTATTCCCAGTCTAGTCATTGGTCCTTTAGTTGGTTTTTTGACACATTTGGATTAAAATCTACCACTTCACTATTTGTTTTCTACTTTTTTCATCTGTGCTTATTTTCTCTGTTTCCTCATTTTCTTCCTTCCTTTGGGCTGATTATGTTTTGCCAGGGCAAACCTTACCCCCACAGGCTCCACCAGTAGACAGCGAGACTCACTGTGCCCACTCAAGACAGCTCACCGCTCCCAGCCTAGGACACAACAGGAGCGTCAGCAGCGTCTGGTGTCGGTTCCTCCGCTCTGAGTCCAGCGGGTGGCGCTGTGGTCCCAGCTGCACAGCACTCACCCAGCCCCTGCGCCTTGCTGCTGAGAAACCCGCGTCCAGCACTTTTATAGCACAAGCCTGCCTTTGAGAACGATATGATCAACTTAAGCCCATCTGAAATAATATTACGCTTCTCATATAGCATAAAGACCTTCTAACAGTACGTTTCCAAATCCTCATCCCATAATTCGTACTGTGGTTATTGCCACTTTCCTTTTAGACGTCTCTGAGCCCACAGTGGGCCGCTATTCTTTTCCTTTCATCGTCCATTACCTTTTAAGGTGATTAAAAACAGAAAAATGTTTTATATTTACCTTTATTTCACCCATTTCCAGAGATCTTCATTTCTGTGTGCAGATCCAGGTTTCTCTTTGGTATGTATCATAGTCTTTCTGCCTCCAGAACTTCCTTTACCATTTTACCATTTCTTACAGTGCTGACCTGCTGGTAATGAATTTTGTTTTCCTTCACCTGAAAAAAGTATTTTTAACTCCTTCAAGTTTGAAAGACATTTTCACTGGATATAAAATTCTGGGTTCACAGTTTTGGGTTTTTGTGTTTTTTTTTTCAGCATTTAAAGCTACCACTCTGTTGTCTTCCGGTCACCTGACCTCTCTCATGCGAAGTCTGCTTTAATTACTGCCTTTGTTCCTCTGCAGGTGGTGTGTCTTTTTTCCTCTAGATGCCTCATAATTTTCTCTTTATCTTTGGCTTCCAACAGTTTGACTATGTAGCGAGGTCATGTTTTGTGTGTGTGCATATTTTCATTTGTATCTTTTCTCCTTCTGGGATTCACATCACACATTTGTTGGCTCTTGAGTGTTCTGTTCTTTCACTTTGTCTTGCTTTGCTTCACTCTTTCTTCTCTTTTTGTTTTAGTTCTGGCGTCTCTTGGTCTCTCTTCAAGTTCACTGATTCTTTCCTCAGCTGTGTTGAGTTCACAGAGGAGCCTGCCAAAGGCATTCTTTATCTTTGTTACAGGTTTTTAAAATCCCTAAATTTTCCATATGATTCTTTTTTTGTAGTCTCCACATCTCTGCTAAAATTCCTTTTCTGTTTATGCACGTTGTCCACATTTTCCAACAGAGCCTTTTGCAGGTCCTTGTAATTGTTTTAAACTCTCTGTCAGATAACTCCAGAGAGTTATCCAGGCCTTCAGCCCAGTTCTGTCCATTACTTTGTCTCTTGACAATAGGGCTTTTAGGGTTTTTTGGTTTTGTAAAGTTGCTTTTTGTTTATGCATTGTAATTTTTTATCGATTTCTGGACGGAATGTGTAGAGCAGCAGAGACTGGGGGCATTATTTATGCCTAAAAATTGTTATATCTCTTCTTAGGCCACTGGTGGGCAGGACTGAGGCAGTCTTGTCGGGAGTTAAAGTAGGCCGGGTTTTGTTGTTTCTGTAATTACTTTTAGTATCTGCAGACCCCCCACTCTCACCCCGGCCACACGGGGCTTCAGCAAGTCAATACGACTGCGGCCGAAGGCTGCTTGCCTGCTTGTCTGCAGACCTGGTCTTCCTCCGCGTCACGAGTGTGCCAGCGCCCGCGTCCAATTTCTTCCTGGAGGCTCCTGTCCTTCTTTGGAATTCAGGTTAATTGGTTGCTCTGCAACCTCATCTCTCTGATGGATTAGACAAAAGTTATAATTTTATAGATCACCTAACAATTAAAAAAATGATTAGTGGAGTAATGACGCCCCTCCCAGCTTTCTGCATCTTAGGAGGAAGCCAGAAGGCTAAGCCATCTCGCTTTTCGCCGCTCATTTCAACTCCTCTTGCCACTCACTGCTGGGCCCACTGCCTGGGGCTTTCTCTCGGCTGGCTGACGCCCTTCCAGCACAGCCCCTGCATTATTTCTGGGTTGGTTGATTTCTTCCCACCCCGCCCTTTCATCTGGCAGGTATCTGGCAAAGAGGAGGGACAGAGGTTCCTGACCTGTTGCCATCACACAGCCCTGTCTCTAGGGACAAGCCTGAAGCGTGGGGCGGTGACTCTGTGAGCTGAGTTCTTATGCTCTGTCCTTCTGACTCGGCCTTGTTCCTCTGTGCTGGGAGATGGCGCCAAGTCACTACTCGGTCCACTGATGAGGAGTAAGAATTGCACTGACCCAGACACTCCCTGGAAGATGCAAACTGCAGCAGGGTGAAGGGGACGGGCCGGGAGCCGTGGTTATGAGCACGGTGTCTGGAGGCAGCCTGCCTGGGTTCAGATTCCAGCTCCATCACTCACCAGCTGTCTGGCCTTGGACAGGTCCCTGCACTTCTCTGCAGCTTAGTTTCTGTATCTGCAAAATGGAAATAATAATAGTACTCACCTCACAGGGTTATTCAGGGAATCAAAAGAGTTAACATACACAAAGTACTTGTAATAGTGACAGGTGTATGATAAGCTCTATAGAAGTATTAACTATCAGGGAGGACTTCTATAATTTCAGAAACTTGTGAAACAAAGCAGCTTCTTCCACTTCTCAGAATGCATTACAGTGAAAACAGCTAACGTTTACTGAGCATCTCCAAAATGCCCAAGTCCTGTACTAGCATTTCCTGTGAGTTATAAGATACAGAGATGAATTATATCTAGTAGGTAAGGAAGCGCTGGGTCAGAGAAACGAAGTGCTTACACAGCTGGTCAGATGCCCGGCTAGGTCCACAACCCAGGAGGCTCTGCCATCTGCGTGCCCGTAACCCCTGCACCGGTTTCTTCTCACGGACCAGTTTCTGTGCTTATAAAATGTGGGGAAAGCAGCTGTGTTTGTCTCACAGCGTTGTTCTGAGACCCCAGTGACAATAAAAGGGGCAGTGCCTCAGGGATTTTAGAGTGCTGGTCCCCTGACACGGAAACCTGAATGTGCCATGAATTTTCACACGTCCATTCCTCTCCCGCCTTCTCTGTTTATTGAACTCATTTCTTCAAAGCTCAGCCCTGAAGAAGCATAAATGGTAGGCACAAAATAGACAGGGGAGGTTAAGAACAGTATAGGAAATGGAGAAGCCAGAGAACTTATATGTACAACCCATGGACATGAACTAAGGCGGGGACACGCTGGTGAGGGGGGTACAGGGCAGAGGGGAATAAAGGGGGAAAATGTGACAACTGTAATAGCATAATCAATAAAATATACTTAAAAATTCTCAGATCAGGCCTAGATTTTACTTTGACAATGGAGAGACTTGAGCAGAGGGTGGTGGGTCAGGCTGCTTGTTGTGTGGGGAATGGAGTGTAGTGGAGCCCGCTGAGCGAGTATAGGAAAACCAGCCGGAAGGCTGTTGTAGGAGCCAAGGGGAGAGATGGTGGTGGGAACAGAGAGGAATGGTGGATTGGAAAGATATTTAAGGAGGAGAATCGACAAGAAATGAATATGTGTGTTAATGAGGGCAGCGAAGGACAGGGAGGTGCCAAGGATGAGTCCTAGTTCTCGGCTTGCTCGAGGATGTTCTCTGACCCCGCAGCAGAAGCATCTCTGACTGACACCTCCCCCGCCCGAGCTTCTGAAGCTACGAGCACCAGAGGGTGAGTGCAAGGGAGAAGGAAGAGAATGGGCACAGGCTCTGGGTCCCGGAACTGCTAGATTGGACACCGGCACTGATCGGAGCCAGGAGGCGCTACAAGGGGGCAAGCGTTTCCACTCTAGGCCCGCAGTTTGCGCCTGAGCCTTCCATCCCCGGCAGCCCGGGCGTACAGTGCCTCTCTTAGCACCCTGCAGGGTGCTAAGGGTTGACTCTTCCCTGGTGTCTGGGAGTGCGGTGCAGCGGCCCACCCCTCCAGCCCTGACCCGCCCCATCCCGGCGCCCACCCCGCCCAGTGCGCTGGAAGGCTGGGCGTTGGCTGTCCAGTCCTGGATCCAGGAACCAGGGTCTGCCGGGTGAGTCTCAGGGTCTGCCGGGTGAATCCCAGGGTCAGAGGGATCCTCCGCAGCAGTGCACCTGCTCCGATGGGAGACACCGGGTGCCCTCCCCCACCTGCAGGTGGTCAGCCTCCCTTTCCCAGCGTGCGCCCTCTCGAGATGTGAGCACAACTACATGCGAGTGTGACCAAGGGTGCCGGAGTGCGGGTTCGTGTTGGTTGCTTCGGAGCTGCCCGGGAGTCCTGGAGCAGCAAGTGTGCGTGAGCCCGAACCCCGCGCGTGTCCCCTCGCCGGCACGTCTGCGCCGCCGCACCCGCAGCCACCGATGGGGCGCGGCTAGTGGAGGCGAGCGTGCGAACTGAGCATACGGGCGGCTGCGGAGGCGCATGGAGCGCAAAGAAGGCCGCCTGGGAGCGGGGAGGAAGGATGCGGGCCGAGAACTTTTCGGCCGCCTTGGAAGTAGGAGCTTTCGCGCCCGGAGGGACTCCCCCACAGCCGCCCAGCGAGAGGCGAGCGCGTGTGCCCGCCGCCCCTCCCCCACTTCCGCCTCCCGCCTCTTCCTCGTTCCCGGCTCCCAGGGCCAGTGCGTCCCGGGGGAGACCCGGCGGCGCAGCCCCACCCCGGCTGGTGGCTCGCTCCCACGCCCCCGCCGCTGTCTCGCCGGAGCGGACAGACTGAGTCAGCCGGGGCTCCGGCGCGGCAGGTAGGGGCTCCGCGGCGGGCGCAGGTGCCGCGGGAGGGCTGCTGTGTGGGGGGGACGTGAGCCTGAGATGAACGGCCGGGGTGGGGGGGGGTGCTCCATCGCTTCCCCTCCCTTCCCCCCGCGGACACAGCATGTCCCTTTTAGGGAATTCTTTCGCTCCATCTGACTCCAACGCGGGTGGAGCTGAGACTGGAGGGTGCTCTCCATTTCACTGGTCCCTAGCCAGGCCCCTGGCAGCCTCCTGCCCCCAAATCTCTTCACCCCTCTCCTCAGCACCTTGAGTCGCGTAAACAACTCCCTTCCCCACTCCAGTACTTGGCTTTGCACCCCCTCTTTCGGGGGCGGGGGAGTTCCTTCAGTCTTGTGATACTGATCGGGTTGGGGAAAGGGAAAAGAGAAGGGGCGTCCCAGAGTCCCTGGTCCCTTTTACTCCCCTGCTCTCTCGTGCGCCCTCCCCCAGCCGCTGCTAAAGCACTCGGCCTCAGGGGCCCGGGTATTTTTAGCGTTGTGACCTGGTCTGCAGATCTAAGAGCCTTTCCCAGGAATCAGCGTCAGCGCCTTCCTCCTCCACCACCAGACCGCGGCCGCAAGGTCTCCCCACACTTCCTTGGCCCTGCCTAGCCCACTGGGTTTAGGTCTCCCGTGGCCCGACCCGGCGCCTCTGGAGCTGACCAGGGTCTTGAATATGCAAAGTATAGACGAGGCGGGGAAGGCAGTCTGTGGAGGAGGGTAGTCTGGTCCTCAGGTCTGATACTTACTCCCTCACCTCCTGTGATGGGCTCTGAGCCCAGTGCCTGGAAGGAGATGGAGCGAACGCCCGTGAATGCAAAGGGCCTGGCCTGGACCGGGGCTCTGTTGTTCTGGAAAGCTCTCAGCACTGGGGGCCTGGTCTGAATTTGGGCCTAGGACCTGCCCTTTCCAATGCTACTCACTGACTGGCAGGGAAGTAAGACAGAGGTGGAGCAGAGGAGACACGTGTCAGGGGGTGACGTCCCCACAGATAAAGAGCTTCAAGTGCAGGAGCTTCACATTTCTGGGAGCACCCTCCCAGGCAGCGCCTCGGGTTCGAGGCAGGTAGGGTGACTGTGCCATTTTCGGCTGGGGAGACTGCAGCTAGAAAGATGATTTCCGTAGGCAAAGAGAGCCAAGTCTGGACGTCAGGCCTGTGACTTCAGACCAGGGTTTGGAGGGCATGAGGATGAAGGTGATGGGGTGTCTGAGGTAGAGAGAGAAAGGAAGGGAGGGGGTACTTCAGCTTCTGTCTGGGTTTTGAAGAAAGTACAGGAGCGGAGCACTAGACCGAGGGGACCGTCCACCTGAGATCTCGTCCCGCCCTCTTCCCTCGCCTCAGAGGAGTGGGTAAACGCCTCCCCCATTTGGGCAGGAGCAGCCCCGCCAGCTCCTCTCACAGGGTCACGATTCTGAGACTTGGCCGTTGGCTGTGTCCATCCCCTGAATACAGAGGAGCCTCTCTGGCCGTGCCTGGGACTGGCATCCCCTTTGTGGAGCCTACCAGGGTCAGCCCCGCCTCTGTGTGACACTTGAAATGTGTGGTAATGGACTTTGTTTTAGGGAAGGGGAAGGAGGAAGCCAAGTCCAGAGGTGTCCGGGCTGGAACCAGGGGCCCCACCCTGGGATGCTGGCTGCAGTGGGGCTCCCCAAGCTCAGGCCCCCACAGCACTGCCTCTCCACATCATAGCCCCGTCTCCCCCTCCAGGAGCTGCCATGGACCCAAATGCTCGGGCGTCCCTGGAGCGCCAGCAGCTCCGCCTGCGGGAGCGGCAGAAGTTCTTTGAGGACATTTTACAGCCAGAGACAGAGTTCGTCTTCCCCCTGTCTCACCTGCATCTTGAGGCTCAGAGACGTGAGTTCTGGGGTTAGGGGTTTAGGGATTTGGGGAGAAAGTCTTGGAGATCCAGAATCCTGGGGGCCCTTCCCCTCTTGTTTTCTTGTCCCTCTGAACTTCTATCCGTGGACCTGACAGGTAGCTCTGACCATCCTGTCGGCTCCAGCCGGGGTCCTCCTGACTTGGCCTTCTTGGTCTGCAGCCCCCATAGGTAGCATCTCATCCATGGAAGTAAATGTGGACACCCTGGAGCAAGTGGAATTGATTGACCTTGGGGATCAGGACGGAGCAGACGTGTTCTTGCCTTGCGAAGACCCCCCGCCAACCCCGCAGACGGCTGGTATGCTCCTGTGCTGGGGCTCGGGCAGCCGGATGCTGGGGCTCGGAAGTGCGGGCTGGGGAAGTGTACCCGCGGGGGCTGGGAGGGGGCGCGCCCACCAGTGAAATAGCTGTCTGTTCTGGTTTTAGGGAAGTTGACCGTGAGGCCAGCTGGATCTCCAATCCAAAATTCTAAGAATGCCAATTCCCCCTTAGCCTGGTTAATTTTACACTTTTGAATTGAATAAAAATCAAAATGATATAGAAGTGTAATTTCTACATTGGAGAACTTAACGGTCTTAGTCACCTTAATAATATAGTATTTTTGAGCACTTAGTAAGTTTCTAATGCTGTAAATACATGTATTATCTCAGTCCTTACCAGTGCCCTGCTAGGGCAGGTATCTTATCTCCATTTTATACAGAAGGCTGTGAGGCTCAAAGACGTTGTCACACAGCCCGCAAGTGGGAGAGCTGGGCTTGATCCATGGCTTTCTGACTCCAAAGTCCACGTACTTATAAGATAGGTATTCTCTCACTTACAACTACTGCTACTAATCGATAGCCTGCTGCTACGTGTCAGGCATTGTATAAGCTTTATTAGATTTCACCCTCAAAACTCTTCTGGAATGTAGGGGTCCCTTTCTTTACAGAGAGGAGCGCAGTCCCTGCGAGGAAAAGCGACTTGCTCCAAGCTACTAAGGAAATAAGTGACATGGGTAGAACTTGGAATCTTGAATTGGTTGACCTGACTCTCGAGCCCAGACGTGATCCCAGAAGTACAAGGAGCTGGGAGTCGGGAGAACTGGCTCTTTGCTAGACTGGCTAAGTGACTTTGGACAAGTCCCTGCCCTTGTCTGGGCTTCAGTGTCTCCTGGCCAGAGAGTCCCTCCCTGAGAGTCCTCCGAAGCCCTGTTGGTGGCTCTGACCAGCTCTTCTTTCTGGGCAGGGGTGGATGGCCATCCGGAGGAGCTGAGCCTGCCCATGCGCACGCCAGACAGGACCACATCCCGCACTTCTTCCTCCTCTTCTGACTCTTCCACCAGCCCGCACAGCCCAAGCCCCAGTGACGGCGGTGAAGACACACCCTTGGCACAGTCTGACGTGGAGGAGGATGGGGGCGAGGGGGATGCCGAGCCTGGAGCCTGCAGCTAGCAGCGGGCATCCGCCTGTGGACTGACGGAGCTGGCTGTTCTCCACAGGAGACCCTAGGTCCGGCCAGAGCTCTTCGGAGAAGACCAGACTCTACTCGTAGTAGGCACCAGAGGGAGGAAGGGATGGTGAGACGGCGCACCTCCCTGGGAGCTGGCCCTCTCCCGTGTGACCGCTGACCTTTTCCTGCTGCAACCCTCCCACTAGCTTTTGGCTTACCCCCGAGGTAGAGCTTGTAGGCGAGGAGGTGGAGATGAGGTAGGACAGGATGCCACTGCTTGTCTTAGCGCCCCTCCCCAGACTACCCTGCAGCCTCCTAACCGTCTCCTCCACCGGTGTCTCCCAATGGGCGTGAACTCTTTAGCACCAAGTGAGGTGGTAACTCCAGCCATCCTGCCTCCATACGTCCCTTTTTGGAATAGGGCACCGTATCAATAATAAACAAATAACAGCACACCAACCATTCCACTTCCTTTTTCACGTCGTAGAGGTATCAAAGCCACTGTATTTGTTTAGCTCTGTAACCAAGACGATATGCCTCTTTCATTCACTGCATTTGTTCCAGACATATTGACCGGACACCGGGCTGGGCGTTTGGATACAGTTCTAGGTGAGAGCGGCTGCGACCTGCCTTCATGGAGTTGACAGCCTCGAGGAGGAGATGGACTCAATAGCGCGGTTCATAGCCTCATAAGTAGCATGACAAGGAGCTACTCTGGTGCCAGAAAACAGGGGCGTCTTAACCTTGCTGGTGTGGTTGTCGACGAGCTGGTTTTTATGCCGAAATCCAAAGGGTGAGTAGGAGTGAGCTAGGTGGGGGCTGTGTCCCCAGCAGAAAGAGCAGCGAAGCCTTTAACTGCGGAGCAGTGGCCGTGCAGAACTGAAGAACGTTCGGCTTGGCCGAGCTGTCGGGTTCGCGATGAAAGGAGAGTGAGATTGACGATGGTCGAGTCAAAATGCTTAGATGCCTGCATTGTTTCAGTTTGCCTGCTGGTAAAATATCAGTAAAGTATCAGTATGTCCTCATCTAAAAGAAACCCAGAGCACAGGGCTACACGGCTGCTCCATAGTGGGCGGGCGCCCGGGTCCTGGTCGGCTCTTTTCGCTCAGCCGCTCCAGGCCTGCGGCTCGAATTCTCACTGATACTTCATGTCTAAGGTGGCTGTTGAAGCCCCCGCCATTCCTGTCCTTGAAACTGGCAGAAAGCAGGGGAAGAAATCGGGGATGGGCAGAGCACACCCCGCTGTCGAGTCCCATGTCAGGAAGCATTTTGGGGAGGTCTAGCGAGTACCATTCCACTTTCATCTCATTGGCCAGCATTTACTGATACTGTTAGATGTTTTACTAACAGATACTTGATAGACATAGAGACATGGCATTATAAGAAAGGAAATTCTGGCCTTCAGAAAGACAGCCCTTTCAAGTTGCTGAGTTACCAGCGCATCCGACTTCTGTTCTGCCTTTTAAACCTCTCAGGAGCACGCTGCCTCCTGGGAAGGAAGGCTGGGGTAGTCCTTTAGTAGGCACATTGCCCTCCTGATAAAACCAGGGTTATGCTACTATGGAACAAGAGCACAGCAGTCTTTGGATAGATAACTAGCAGTTTACACATTAGAGGTCACGTTAGTGAATTTGAACTCTGTTGGGAGTAATGAAAGGTAACACGTGGTTGAATTTGCTTGTTAAAAAGGTCATTCTGGCTGCAATGTAGAGAATGTACCGGAGGAGGACGAAGTCAGAAGATGTGGTGATGTTCAGCCTAACTGGTGGTATAACAAATGACATTCACATTAGTTGTCGGGGCTGGACACGTGTACGATATTGAGCATGGCCTTGGGAATGTAGTAGTGGCCAAAAACCCCCAAAACCAGCCCTGCGCTTATGGAGTTTAGAGTCTCATGGAGGCCGACTGTAAGACTGCAACTCTGACTGGTGCTAGAAAGGAGTTAACAGCTTACTCAGAGAGGTCACGAGGTGTTTCCCTTGGGGAAGTGGCATTTGAGCTGAGATCAGAGGATGAGTAGGAGTCAGCCAGGAGGAGAATGGCGAGAAGGGCTGCCCATGGCGCACTGGCCGAGGGGGCCAAAGCGAGGGGGCCAAAGCTGAGGTCTGGAAACTAGCAGGTGATTGCTGCCGCCTCGCTGAGAGGCGGTGGCCTAGGGAGGGGTGAGGGCGGGCTATAGAAAAGTGGAAGGAATGAAGAGAGATTTAGGGGGCAAATTCTGAAAGATTTGATAGGGGGCTGTGAGAGAGGAAGGGGTCACGGGTACACCTTTGTTCCTGCTTTGTTCAGGATGGTTTGGGGGTTGCTTCACCCAGGTGGGGTGTTTAGGAGAGAACCAGGTGCGGGAAGAGGGTCACGAGTTTGGTTTTGGACGTGAGTTAGAGGCGCTTTTGAGACATGCGAGGGGTCACGTTGAGCAGGCAGCTGGACCCATGAGTGTGGGATTTAGCTGAGAGAGCATTGGTGGTTAAGTAAGTGTGTAGGAGGCGAGTGAAGCCGTGGGTGTGAGTGTGTGGAGTGAAAGAAGGGCTGGTAGCACCCAGCCTGAAGAGGAACATGAGGTCATTTCTCACGTTACACAAACCAGATTATCCCGCCCTCCCTTTGTACATTGGACGCCACCCATGGATCGGCCACCTGCAGCCTAAATCCCAAGTTCTTTGTGGCCCCCAGGCTGAGTGACAGAGCTGCGGTCTTCCCATAGTCCCTTCCTGCCTTCATCCCTGCGGGAGGCCGTTGTAAGTGACAGTTCTTAAGTGCTTTTCCTAGTGCTGGAGAGGAACTTGTGGGAGTTTTATGTTCCTTTTGTCTAAAAGCCTCTGTGTCCAAGCTGAGATCATCCCCTAAGCTGAGTGAGGGCCCAGGCTGGTGTTAAATTGTATAGATTTTCTGGGTTGCTTATGACTTTGCTGTGCACATGGTCTTTGTTCATTGTCCTCTTGTGCCTTCTCCCTTCCTCTGGAGCAGCAAGGCTCAGCCTCCTGTCTGATTGTGCCTGAGCCTTCTCCCGGGCTGTGGCCTGTAAACTCTGCAGTTTGGCTCTGCAGCGGTTCTCAGCTCCCCAGATCACCCCACTACCTTCCATGGTGAAGCTACACTAGCTTGATTGCTGTCAACTTGTCAACAAACCTCTTAGTACCCCAGGCATGTGGTGCTAGGGTCTGTGGGGTTTGGGGCAGGGAGCCTGCCTGGGGAGAGGGATCTATCTCCAGCTCTCCAGAGAGGCAGAATTGTTTGTGAGCCCACGGGGAGCCTTGAATTCAGCGGCTATACATCCCAGCCCTGCCTGGAAAAGTCTGGGGTCAGCCGAGACACCAGGACCACTTCCTGGTTGGACAATGACCTCCTCTTCTGCCAAACCACAGGGGCTTGGCTGGCCTTCAGAGCCCGCATCTCCAGCTGTCTGTTTCTTGAGGCGACAGAGTGCCCTTGGAGATGGGAGGATGATTTGGAGTGAATCCCAAGGCAAGCAGCCCAGCTTTTAGTCTCTAAGCCACAGCCTGGCTTCTTCTGTCTGTTGCACAGACTTATCTTAGACTCTGGAAAGAGGGGAAGACAAACTCATTCTGTAGACTCCTGTGTGGGGAGGAAAGAGGAGGGACCACAACACAGAGGGAGATCCCTCGGAGGGCCCATGCTGTAGCCCACGCTGTAGCAGTCCCCAGGAGTCCACAGGACTCGACACAGAACAGCACGGCGGCGTGGGGCAGTAGGGAGCCGTGCTGTGATGTCGTCTTGTATGTTCGTTCGCTCAGCGTTACTAAGTGCCTGTTGCACCATATGCTGGCCTCCTTGCTTGGGCAACAGAAATACTAAGGTGACCAAGAACTCTTCCAGGAGCAGCCGTGGCCAAGGATGATGGAAGGACAATGTGGGCCACAGCGGGAGAAGTCTTCCCTGGAGGCCACTGGGTCTTGAATGGTGGGGACAGGCAGTTTCAAAAGGAAAGAAAGCATAGAATAACAAAAACGTAATCACAGTGATGACAGCTACTTTTTAAAAAAATTTTTAAGGTTGATAGTGTGACCTCTGGTCCTGGCTCATCACTCACTGTGATCTTAAATAATTATCTCAGTTTCTGTCTCAGTTTTCTCATCTCTAGAATGAGATGAGTACCTACCTCAAAGAGGTGTTAAAGAGTAAATGCTGTCAAGCACTTAGACATTCCAGATCCTACGTGTTCCTGTAACCCTCACAACAACCCTGAAAATAGGTTTGCCCACTTTACAGATGAGGGAGGGTGCTGTGCCGCTCACGCTCCTGTGGGTCCATGGCCGGTGTGGGGATTCCCACCCATGTCTGTCTGACGTCTAAACTCACGGCCTGCCTTCTATTCCATGTCTAGTGTGATGGGAATACTAGATGTAAGTAGGGGGAGACCATAATAATTTAAAGACACCTTTGGCACTTGCTCTCTGGTTGGTTGGGGTATATCTTAGCAGACCTGCTTGACACCAAATTTGGTTCTGCATAGAGATATGGTTGTGGGTTTTACCAAGAGACTGTGTGTAAAATTCTTCATGAATGTGTTCCCATAGGGCAGCTGGAAAACCTAAAGCAGAAATTGAACACCGGAACCCCTACAACTCAAAGGCAAACAAGCCAGTAAAAAAAGGGGAGGGTGCAAAAAGATTTTAACAGAATTTTCATGAATGAAAAATATATGAATGGGTGGTAAGCACATGAATAGATGCTCAACAGCATTATGTACCAGGGAAATGCAAGTGAAAACTATCATGAATACCAGTACACACATTCCAACATGGCTAAAATGAAAAAAATAAAAACATGTTGAACAGGAACTCATACATTGTTGATACAAGTGAAAATACACATTTTGGAGAAAGGCCTGACAATTTCTTATAAAGTGAAACATACAGTCTTGGGGTGGTGAACACACAATATGGTGCACAGATGATGATTTGTGGTTTCATACAGCTTAAACCTGTGTGATTTTGTTGACCAGTGTCACCCCAATAAATTCAATAAAAAGGGGGAAAAACTATGTGAAATTTTTTAAAAAGGGAAAAATAATGCTAGTGACTAGATTTGAATTCCCAATAAGAGCACAGTTATTCTTCCTACTGAGTTCTAGTAGAAATTGTCATATTTTGAATAAACACTATAATAATATTTGTGACTTAAATCAGATTTAAAATCTTATCTTTTGATGCAACAAGCAGTCAAGCTTTTTCTGATACTCAGGACAAGCAAAGGAAGTTGGCACCAAGCTTCCTGGGCCAGAGAATGTCCACCCAACATGCTCCACCTAGAAACATCGTGAAAACAGAATGACTCCCAGACCCTCCCATTTCCCTTGGTTACAGCGGTCAGAACCTGTTGGCTTAAATCCTGTGAACTATTGGAACTACACCCCCAAGCAGAAAAAAAGAAACCCAGTGTTCCTGATTTATCTGAATCATAATAAAAAGGTAGCAAAGAATCCCAAAATTTCTGCAGCAAGGTTCATCGCAGCTGAATGCATGCTGGTCTCTCACTGGGGGAGACTCACTGGGGTAAAGAGGCAGGGACAGGCTCTGCTCCACCTGCACCACCAGCCAGCTGTGCGTGGGTTGCGGCCATGCCATTTCACTTACTCTTGCTTACCTTGAACTTCTCTGGCTGAATAATACCATCTTCAGTGTCTTTTTAGTCCTAAAATATTACGGCTTAATGCTTGTAACTGTGGATTGGGCAGTTTGAATAGGTCTGTTGCCCAAGAACAAACTAGCAAGAAAAAAAGTTAAACATACACCTCACGTACTCTTTACTACTAAATATTTACCCAAGGTGTTCACAAAGTAAATTGAACAGCATTCTAGTTCATAATAACTAAAAATTTGAAAGAGCTCAGGCTTCCATCAACAGGATAATGGGTAAACTATGACATATTCATATTATGCAATACTACACAGCAATAAAAATAAATGGCCAATATACACAAGAACCTGGATGATTTTCAAAGACATCCTTGCCATGAAAGAAGCTTTACACAAACACACACACACTGTATGATGATTTTATTTATATGAAGTTCTAGAACGATTATCTTATTCTATGAAGGAAAATCAGAGCAGTGGTTGCCTCTGGAAGGTGGGGAGGGGCAGGAATTGATTGGCAAGGGGGCATTAGCCAACTTCTTGGGGCTTTAGGAATGTTCTGTCTTCTTAGACGTTTGTGTGCACAGGTGTGTGCACTTGTCAGGCTCAGTGAATGTGCACCTCCGAGTTGTAAATTTCATTGTAGTGTATGTAAATTTAACACCAGAAGAAAAATGTGAATATTGAACTCTATACATTATTATGCACGCTGAAATATTTAGGGGGAAGTGTGCTTCTGTCCGCAGTTTACTTTGAAATGTATTAAAACATACAATGAATTGAGGGATTTATAGACCCGTATGTGATGAGTCTAGGAAAATGTTAACGGTGAAGTCTACGTGATGGGGAAGCAGGCGTTCATTCTTTCAATTTTGCTGTATGCTCGAAATTTTTCATAAGAAAGGAGCCAGTTATTTGAGGGCTTTGCGGGAAAGCTCTGCCACCAGAGGAGCTGACTAGTCTTAGGACCGAGCAAATGCAGACACTAAAAGCTGAAGGAAGGCAGGAGCAAAGCCCTGTTACCTCGCAAAAGCGATGAACATTTTTCAGTGTTTTCTCAACTATCACATAGGGACAACAGCAGTGGCAGCATTCGGTATCATTAAGCATTTTCTCATGGGTGGGAAAATCTCAAAGGTAGACATCCTCCGCCCTCCTTGCCCTCCCCGCACAGCCTTAAACTCTGTAGCCTTAAAGAGGCTAGCGGGCCGTTGCTCCGGTAACCGCACCGAGATTTCCGGACGACACCGGAAGTCACTCCTTATTTGCTCTCCCTATTGGAGGCCGGCCTCTCGTGGGGGCGGGCACTGTTGGGGGGGCGGAAGGAGCCGCAGGAATGGCGGCGGCCCAGCCGCTCGCTCTGGTGGTACTGCTGCTGCTGTGGCCAGGCGGCTGGGGCCATTCAGAGGCCCCACGCGACAGCCTGCGGGAGGAGCTCGTCATCACCCCGCTGCCTTCTGGAGATGTAGCAGCCACATTCCAGTTCCGCACGCGCTGGGATTCGCAGCTGCAGCGGGAAGAAGGTGAGAGAAAGAGACTGACCGCAGATTGATTTCTGTGGCACCTGCAGGAAGTGGGTGGAGGCAAGTTGGGGGGCGGGGCCTAGTCCCTGGGTGGAGTCCTGGCCGGTGGGCGTGAACCGGACAAAGTGGGTCCCTGGAGGAAGGATGGGTTATTGGGGAACACCATTATACCGTTGGTGAAATTAAGGCTCGGAGAGGGGCAGCGACTCCTAGTCCAGTTCTTTCCGCAGCTCCAGGCTGCCACTCTGCACCTTTAATTAGAGCACTCTGTCCACGACACTGATGTTGATGTTGTTGACGGTTACCATTTATGCTGGGTGCTACGCACAGTGCTAAGTTCTGTGAAAGACTGCTAGGAAGAAATTAGAGGTGTAAAGTGGTGAAAGCAGTTGTTCAAAAACCACATTTCTGGTAAGTAAATGACAGTCTGGGCTGGAATTCAGATCTCTCTGATCCCGGAGTCTGGGGTCTGCTGTTTCTTTGGGGTGGCTGAGAAACCTCCTTCCAAGGGCCGTCCCTCACCGCCTTCCCCTTCTCTAGTTTCTCATTATAGGCTCTTCCCCAAAGCCCTGGGGCAGTTGATCTCCAAGTATTCTCTCCGGGAGCTGCACCTGTCACTCACACAAGGCTTTTGGAGAACTCGATACTGGGGGCCACCCTTCCTGCAGGCCCCCTCTGGTGCAGAGCTCTGGGTCTGGTTCCAGGACACCGTTGCTGAGTGAGTGGCCACCTTGAGGCCTATTGCAGGCCATGAAGGGAATGTGGCAGGGAAGGTGTTGTCGTCTTGCCACTGCCCTTGGGGGCCAGCAGTTGCCGTGGGCAGTAATTCCATGGGGGTAAAGCAGCCTTGGAAATAAGCAATAATGTGACTACTGAGTGGCATGCTTACTTTGCTGAATATACTTCCTTCCCCTACTACTTCCAGACCAAGGCAACACACGCATATCTCTGCAAAGGTGGATAACACATCATTGTTATCCTTACTTGGATTGTAAGGCCAAACAAAACATGGGTGTGCTAGAATTGGCCTATAAGATGCTAGATCTCCATATTAAAGGAATTGCTTTTGTTTGGGAGGGATGAGGCTAGGTACTGCTGCTGTGCCACAATTTCTTCTTAAATCCACTATGGGAAATCAATAGAACAAGTATGACTTTTTTAAAAATTTAGGGCAATAGTCCTGGTTGCTGTGGCTCAGGGGATTGAGCGCCAGCTTGTGAACCAAAGGATTGCCGGTTTAGTTCCCAGTCAGGGCATGTGCCTGAGTTATGGACCAGGTGCCCAGTAGGGGGTGCAGGAGAGGCAAGCACACATTATTATTTCTGTCCCTCTCTTTCTACTTCCCTTCCCCTCTCTAAAAATAAATGCATAAAATCTTTTTTAAAAATTTAGGAGTAATAGGGAGTGGTGGGGACTGTGGCAGGCTAGAGAGCTTGAGAGGAGAGCTGCCAGTCATGCCCTATGGACTGTTGCCATGGGAATAAAGGCCCACTGTTATAAGATACTCTCATTTTTAAAGAGATATCAGGGTGGGTGGGCTTGGATGGGAGTAAAAGACAAAAAACTGTATTTGAACAACAATTAAAATAAAACTTAAAAAAATAAAGAGATATCAGATATCTGGATTTCAATGTGAAAGTTGGCAAATTTAAATACCAGCAAGGAATTAAAAAACATAAGACACACTGTGTGGGTCTCTGTTGTGTACCCCCGATGAAACCTGGTTCTGGTTTGGCCAGAGCGTCAGGCCACAAGTGTGCAATCTTCATTTGAGGCTTAAGACTTGGAGCAATTGAAAAGCTCTGAACAGAGGATTATGGAAACACCCCAGAACAGCACTTAGGTGATATCAAGTGAGGAGCCAGCAGTGACCCCACAAACTTGCCAAGGCTCTACCTGAACGCTGGCCCCTTGGCTTCTTCCCTGTCTGCTCTGCTGTCCCCTCAGCTCGCAATTGCCTGTACTACGGAGCTGATGCTTAGATGACTAGTTTTATGCTCTCTGCGGTTAACACAGAGATCAAATTCTATTTTGATGTTTCTCTAAGGAAAAAAAACTTCTAATTTAATTTGATGTTTTTTTTTTCTTTATCCTAGAATGCTTATTTTCTCTCGTTCATTGAGTCTGTTTAGATGTAAGACTCCCACTCTGAAGCTAGAACCAGGCTTACCTTCCTGCCCAGGGTGTTCACAGGGAAGTGTGTTCTTTTGCCCAGCTGAGCAGATCAGTGACTGTTGTCAGGTGTGGGGCACTTTATGTGGTGTTGGGAGACACACAACGGTGACTCAGACTTGCTCTCTGTCCTCTGGTTCCCATGAGCCTGGTTGAGGAGAAACGACGCTCAGGACGAGGTGCTGCCACCACCTGGCCGTGTCCCGGGAAGGACTTAGGGAGAGGCTCAGGCGGTCAGGCCCACAGCAGTGCAGGTGGAGGCTGTGGCTGAGGAGGGCAGGGAGGGCTTCCTGGAGGAGCGAGCCTCCTTGAAGGTGAGCAGAGAGTAGGGCATTCCCAGGCAGAAGGAGGGACCACGGAACCTGTGTGGCTGCAGGGTGTGAGGAGGAAGGGGCTGAGCGGGGGCCGTGGTGGTGTTGCAGCTCCATCAGGTGGCCAGTCTGATGCTGCGGCAGCCAGTGCAGGCTTTGAGAAAGGAGCAGAGGCGGCTGGGGACAGTGAACGGGTTTGTGTCTCCATCCAGTGTGGACAAATCTTGGAAGGACCTCAGCAACGTCCTCTCAGGGATCTTCTGCGCTTCTCTCAACTTCATCGACTCCACCAACACGGTGATGCCCACTGCCTCCTTCAAACCCCTGGGGCTGGCCAATGGTGAGAAGCCCCTGCGGCCCTTTCCTTCTTCTTGTTACCTCTTGCCCAAACCTTTGCCTCCTTTCCCCTCAGCTTCCTCTTTCCACAGCGGAGCCAGATCATAACTCTCCTGGGCGTGTGGGCCCAGGAGAAGGCTCCCTGAGACTGGGCTGTCTATGTACTGCCTTCTCCCAAGGGGAGGGGAGGGTCCCACTCCCAGCTGTGCGTGAGGGTGGTAGCACCAGAGGGGTATATGGGGAGAAGGAGGGGCCACTGAGTGTGGGTCCTGAGGAGTGGGGCCCAAGGCCCACCCCAGACAGGCCTCTGTCTCCCTCAGGCACGGATCACTACTTCCTGCGCTACGCTGTGCTGCCAAGGGAAGTTGTCTGCACTGAGAACCTCACCCCGTGGAAGAAGCTCTTGCCCTGCAGCTCTAAGGTGAGGCCAGAGTGGTCTGAAGAGTGGATGGCGTCGGCAGCTGCCCTCATTGCCAGGCAGCCAGGTGACTTACAGATAACCTCTGCCACGTGCCCAGATGCCCTGGGCACTGACATTTTATTTCTTCCTGCCTCTTCCAGGCAGGCCTCTCCATGCTGCTGAAGGCCGAGCGCTTGTTCCACACCAGCTACCACTCCCAGGCAGTGCACATCCGCCCCGTTTGCAGAGTGAGTCATCGGGAAAGGGGGCGGGTGCCATCCAGAGGCTCTGAGAGAGAGTGCAGGTGAAGCAGGTGGCCCAGTGTCTGGGGGAGGGTCGAGCCCGTAGTAAGTGGTGAATAGCAAGTGATGGGTAGCAAAGTGGTGGATAGCGCGATGACTTCTGGGGCATGGGCCACGCACCAAGGAAACCGGGTGGTTGCCTGGCAAGCATTCAGTAAATCTTTGTCATGGAGCATAGCGATTCAAAATAGCTGTGTGCTACACCCACTAGCATAGTTACTCACCAGCTGATGTGACCTTGAGCAAATCCTTTTGTTTCCCTGAGCCTGGTTTCTCCATCTGTCAGATGAGTAATAGTAATAGTAGTTCTATGGCCGCCGGCCACGGTTCACCCGATAGATGCACATGAAGCTGCTTGCACAGGGTCAAGTGCTCAGCAGTGAGCGGTAGCAAACGGACAGGTGGGAAGACACATCGTAGACAAGGGACTGAGTCACAGTGGGAGTCCCTGAGGCTCTGGCTGCAGCGATAGGTCCTCATTGCCACTGTCTGGTCCTCGCGGTAGAATGCTCGCTGTACCAGCATCTCCTGGGAGCTGAGGCAGACCCTCTCCGTTGTGTTCGACGCCTTCGTCACGGGGCAAGGGAAGAAAGGTAAGCCCCCGTGGCAACTCATCGCTGCCCGACTGTCACCCTCCCCACCCTATGTGTGCAGACCAGGCCTGCTCCCAGCCCCTGCTCAACCCTGCTGTCTGCCCCTCAGACTGGTCCCTCTTCCGGATGTTCTCCCGAACCCTCACAGAGCCCTGCCCCCTGGCTTCAGAGAGCCGAGTCTATGTGGACATCACCAGCTACAACCAGGTACCACGGTCTCCAGCCACATATATTGCCCCCTGCCAAGGCCAGCCTGCCCCTCTGCTTACCCCTCAGTCCTGCCCTTGTGTCCCCAGGACAATGAGACTTTGGAGGTGAGCCCGACCCCCCTCACCACATACCAGGACGTCATCCTGGGCACCCAGAAGACCTATGCTGTCTACGACTTGCTCGACAAGGCCGTGATCAACAGCTCCCGCAACCTCAACCTCCAGTTCAAGTGGAAGAGACCCCCAGACAATGGTGCGAGAGGGTGGGCCACTACAGGCTGAGATGAGGTCCCCTGGGGCGGACTCACAGTCCTGCCTCCCTGCCACGAGATCACAGCCGAGTGTTGAGGCCCCGCTCTCCGGAGTCAGCCCCCGGCTTCTCGCCCCGTTTCTTTCAAGCTCTCCGACTGTGGGCAGCTCCTGACCTCAGCGGATGAGGTCATTCATTTAAAATGTGGAGTTTGTTTATGTATTCATATGACCCACAAATCTTTTCTGAAGACAGACAATACCATGCATTTGAGAATCATAATGTCTTCTGGTTGAGACAGACATCAGACAGTTTTGGTTACATTTGTGTTCACTGTTACCAAGGGGAAGTGCAGAATATCATGAGAGTGCCAGGTTTGGGTTGCAGGGGGCACAGAGCTCAGCATATGTCAATATTTAGGAAATAACAGTAAGGGAATAGGGGATGACTCCAGAGTTCGAGTTTCCCAGTTCTGATGGAAAGCTCCCCACCCGGCTGTGAGACTCTGCATGTGGCCTGGGCGGAGTGGGCGGGGAGAGACCCTCTGCTTTGGGCACTGTTAACTGCTGGCTCTGGTCTGCGCAGAGGCCCCGCCGGTGCCCTTCCTGCACGCCCAGCGGTACGTGAGCGGCTATGGGCTGCAGAGCGGGGAGCTGAGCACGCTGCTCCACAACACCCACCCGTACCGGGCCTTCCCCGTGCTGCTCCTGGACACCGTGCCCTGGTTCCTGCGGCTGTATGTGCACACCCTCACCATCACCTCCAAGGGCAAGGAGAACAAACCAAGTGAGAGCTGAGTCCCCCCACCCTGCTCACCCGCCCTCTCTCCAGAGTCCCCAAACCCCCACTTCTCAGGGTAGTTCCTGAAGCCTGTAACCCAGAAGACTGCACAGGCAGAATAGTTGGACAGGTGGAAAGGGCAGCCTCACCGGTGCCCACTCTGGGGCAATTGATAAAGCAGGAATAATGGACACACGGTACCGGTGATTCTTCATAAGACCTGAGGGGGGCAGCAGTTCCCTCTCCTTTCCCACCATCCCCTTTCCAGCTGCTCCAGGCAGTCCTTCGTGATGAGTCACGGGGCCCTTTCCCGCACAGGGAGGGTTGGCCAGAACAGCACAGGCCTGGGGACATGGAAGATTACAGACCTGGAGATGGCTCTGCTGCCTGGGGAGGGAAGAAGCACCGTTTTTAAATTTTATATTTATTTTCTCTCATTTTTCTGTAGTGGAGTTACTCTTTCCTGATCGCTTTCCCTTAGGTGCCAGGCACAGCCCTAAAGGAGGCACTTGTCTTTCTCTGGGGTGGAGAGAGACTAAGGCTGCAGAGAGGGCTCCTCAGGAAGAGGCCGTGGCACATTCCAGACGGCCAGACCCACTGCTCCTTGAGCCGCTCTGTCCTGTCCCGTATTTTCAAGGCCGTGGTCAATAGTCTTCCTTATCTTCGGCACCACTACTTGCACCACCTTCAAAATCTGCCTCAAACCTTCTGCCCATGTGTTTTGTGGGGCTTGGTTTGACCTTTCACTCTGGAAAATTTCAGACACGCACCTAAATGGAATAGCGGAATCCGTTCCCCTGTCCCCGCGGGCAGCTGCAGCAGCCAGCAGCTCCTCTCTTTTTGGTTTTGTCTCTCACCCTCCCCTCCTTTTTTGTTGTTGATTATTTTTCTCCTGGTGTCTTAAAACAAGTCCTAGACATCACATCAGTTCACCTTGAAATACGGTGCTTCAGTATATTTCCTTAACAGACAAAGGACTTAAAAAAAACCGTGGCTTGTCATTCTCATTCCTGTTTTCCCCAACGGTCTTAAAAATAGCTGTTTGTAATTCCTTTGCTTGAATTGGGACGCAAACAAAGTCCTCCCATTGCATTTGCTTGGTGTGCTCTTCAGTTTCTCTCTTTTTCTCTTTTTAATTAACAGAGACTTTTTTAAAAGAGCAATTTTAGGGTTACAGGAAAATGGAGCAGAAAGCACAGTCGTTCCTATCCATGCCCTCTGGCCCCGCCCTTGGCTTCCCCTGCTGTTAACCTCTCGCACTGGGGTCCTCCCAAGTCCCTTTAAATCTACGGCATGTCCCATTCTTTTTTTGATTGTATTTTTTGGGCAAAGTGGGTCATTTGTTTGTTGTATAGAATGTTCTCCATTCTGGGTTCGTCCTTGTGTCATTGTTTAACGTGTTCCTCCATTGTCTGCATTTTTGGGGTATTAGTTGTTAGTACGAGAGACTGGATTAGATTCACGTCCTCTGTCTTTGGCAGGAAAACCTCTGTGGTGGTTGTATGAACTTCCTGATGTCTGCTGCCCAGTTTTCGTGACGTAAATACACAGTTGTCTGCCCAGGACGGCTGCCTGGAAACATAATGTTCCTTTTCTGAGACCCTCTTCCCTTTCCTGAGCCTGCCTGGGGCTCCTCTGACCCAGAGCCCACCTCCGGGCACCAGATCCAGGCCTCAAGGCCTCCACAGGGCAGGCAGGAGGTGCAGGTTCTGCCCCCAGGAAAGAGGTGTGCTGACGCTTGAGCCTCGCCCGTCTGCAGGTTACATCCACTACCAGCCTGCCCAGGACCGGCTACAGCCCCACCTCCTGGAGATGTTGATTCAGCTGCCGCCCAACTCGGTCACCAAAGTCTCCATCCAGTTTGAGCGGGCGCTGCTCAAGTGGACCGAGTACACCCCGGACCCCAACCACGGCTTCTATGTCAGGTAGGCGCCCCCCGCTTCTGTGGGCTGCCCCCACCCTCCTGACCCACTGTCTCTGCCCCAGCCCTGGGCGGGGAGCCAGTGAGAACACGGCTCACAGTCTCCTGCCTTCGTCTCTGCAGCCCGTCCGTCATCAGCGCCCTCGTGCCCAGCCTGGTGGCAGCCAAAGCTGTGGACTGGGAAGAGAGTCCCCTCTTCAACAGCCTGTGAGTGTGACGTCAGCTGCCTGGTTCGGGGTGCACCAGCACAGATGCTCTGGTCCCTGCAGGGTGGGCTGGGGCTTGGTGTGGCTGCCCCCGGGCCCTGCGGAGACTGACTTAACTCGGTCCTAGTGAAGGTCCCCGTGGTCGGTAATGTTCATACAGACTTTGTAAAATGGCCCTAAAGGGCGTCTGGAAGAATAAGTAGGTGAGGAGAGCGGTGTTCAAGGTCCGCATTGACCCACCGAGATGATTTTGCTGAGCACGTACCAAATGCCAGGTACTCCGGAGGAGGCTGGCCACCCAGCGGTGAGCAGACAGACGGCCCCCCGCCTGGCGAACCCCGACGGTCCAGAGGGGAGCCTCCGTGCTAGGGAGCGGTGGGGCCGAGGCGGTGCTGGGAGTGCTCTGGCGGGCGATCCAAGACGGCTTCCTGAGCAGACGGCCTTTAGGCTGAGACCAGGAGGCTAAGGAAGAAGCAGCCAAGCACAGGCAGGGCCCCTTTCCTCGCCCTCAGTACGAGGCAGCTCTCTGCCAGGGTCCTGTGTTGAGCCTTCATCCGAGAGGTGTTCTGTCGGAAAGGTTCGGAAAGCCTTACCTGCGGGCATTGGCCCAGTGCCGCCCCAGGGGTGCGGGTGGGATGGGGGTGAGAGGGGGGGAGCAGGGGTCCCCCCTCACCGCTCCTCCCTGACCACCAGGTTCCCAGTCTCCGACAGCTCCAGCTACTTCGTGCGGCTCTACACGGAGCCGCTGCTGGTGAGCCTGCCGACGCCGGACTTCAGTATGCCCTACAACGTCATCTGCCTCACGTGCACCGTGGTGGCCGTGTGCTACGGCTCCTTCTACAACCTCCTCACCCGCACCTTCCACATCGAGGAGCCCAAGAAGGGCGGCCTGGCCAGGAGGCTGGCTAACCTTCTCCGGCGTGTGCGCGGCGTCCCCCCGCTCTGAGACTTGGCCTCTGCGCGGCTGGGGCTGCCGTTTCTCCGGGGAGGGGTGCTGGTGACCCCAAGAACTGTGTCTGCACTTGCTGTCCCCAGAGTTGGCTTGTGAACCAAACTGCCCCTGGGCCGGGCCAGGGCCTAGAGCTGCACCGTGCAGCACAGTGGCCACGAGCCAGATGTGGCGTGTGAATTTCAGTTCATTTAAATTAAGGACTCGTTTCCTCAGCTGTATTAGCCACGTTTCCAGTGCTCAGGCACATGAGTGGCTGCTGTGTTGGACAGTGACACCAACGTCTCTCTCCGGCGCTGCAGAGAGTCTTGCTGGGCAGCGCTGCCCAGACAGCGGGGTGCGCCCCAGAGCTTCTGTCACTGTGGCAGACAGGTTTGCTGGTCGTGGAATAAAATGGGGCTGTTTCTTCAGTTCTTTGCCTCTTGTCTCCTCGAAGCCTGGGGAGAGCTGGGGACGAGGGCTTACCTGCTGAGCACCTGAACGGGAACTCCTGTCCTAAAACAGACTAAGCTCCCCTGTCTCCTCCAGTCTGCTTACCCTCCCCCACAGCCTCAACGGACAGTAATTTCCAGAACTCCCTGGGTTGGGCTGGGGGTGTTTATGTGAGCCCGTCCATGACCATGAAAATGAGCCCTGAGAACTGGTTCCCTGTCATCATGGGTCCATGCGTGGCCCTTATTGTTCCCACATGTATGCACGTATTTCCATGCAGTAAGCACCCATGAACCTGCCGTCCCGTGGGAAAACTAGCCCCTGGGCAGCAGCTGATCTGATCATAATGGCTGTTGTGTGGAGACGACTAGACTGCAGCGGGGAAAATGGACACCGGGACACTGGGAAGGCGGTAAGGAGGCGAAGGAGTCATCCGGAGGAGGGGGCTGGGGGGCCGCAGTGCAGGTGGTGAGAAGTTAAGGGACATAGGGACAGATGTGGGAGGTAGACCCGCAGGGCCAACTTTTGGACGCAGTGTGTGCGGTGAGGCCTCTGCATGCGTCCATTCGTGGGGCTCTCACTCACTGTTCACTCAGAGCTTAAAGTATGTTCAGTCCTTTGCAAAACGTGCATTTGATGTGGTCCCTGCCCTGCTCACAACCTAGAGAGAGAGAGACAAAAACACAAACTAAAACACATTGGAGTAAGTGCTGTGGTTCAGTGAACTCAGGGGAGGCTTGATTCATTTTTCTGGGGGAAGAAAAGGATGGTTACTTCTGACCAGGCACATAGTGAGTGCTTAGTTGTCTCTCTCACTCGCTCTCACACACAGTGTCATTACATTATTTATTAGTGACGTCCCACAGAATTGCTACTATAAAATAGCTAATTACGTATTTTACCAACCTTCACTTGATTTTTGTCTTAAGTAAAATAAGAACAATGGAAGTTGCATCTCTTGATGTGAGCTACTGATTTAACACTTTTGTATGAGTTTTTACTTTAAATACTTTTAATAATCCTATTTTTAAAACTAGGTAGGCATCAGGAAATAGAAACTATTTTAAAAGCCAGTCAAAAGCCATCTTCAGTCTTCCAGAGCTCAAATCTCTTATGTAGCAGTTCAGAGCGTGCAAGGAAGTGGGGAGACAGGGAAGACCTCACTTTGTCTTTCTGTTCATCCCCCCTGGAGCTCTGGGCAAGTTGGGCTCCTCGGCACATTCTTCCTGATGTGACCTCACAGGAGGTAGGTGAGCTCCTGGCTAAGCAGAGGGGACATCAGGACATCTGAGGGGGGCAGGGTTGAGAAGCACACAAGAAGGACACCAGCGACAGCACCCAGGGCCCCGTCTGGCAACCCAGGCTCTGGCTTCCTGTACAGCTGTGTCATCTCGGGTAGCGGGTTTCCTTTTGAGGAGGTGAAGGGGTTGGACCAGGTGTAGGACAAGGGGATCATAATGGAGGAGGGTGGTCAGGGCAGACCCTCGTTTGTGTTCAGAAAACCATGTAGCAACAGAACACTAGTTAACCCTAACAAGGAAGGGAGTTCTGGCACACGCTACAACACGGATAAACCCTGAGGACATCACGCCGAGTGAAATTAGCCTCTACCAAAAGGACATACTGCACCACTGCACTTGACCCCTAGAGCGGTCAAATTCATGGACACAGAAAGAGAGGTTGCCGGGAGCTGGGGGTGGGGTAGGGAATGGGGGTTCATTTTAAAGGTGGGGAGTGTCAGTCTGAGGAGCCAAAAAGGTTCTGGAGGTGGGTGGTGGCGATAGTAGCACCTGGGTGTGAATGCACCCAATGAGCAAATTGAACCCTTAGAAGTAATAAACAAGGTAAATGATATATTGTAAATATTATATTGTAAATATTTCACCACACTGCAAGAAAGTAAAACCCTTGTTTTTCCAGGATTGCCCTGGGTAGGCGGGAGGCACGCCCTGGCTGACCGGGTTCCCTGAATTGCTACTCCTCCCCCCCCTCCCCCAGGGCGAGGTCCCTGCTGGGCAGGAAGAGCCGCCCAGGTCCATGCAGTCCCAGGCGTGACCAGCAGCAGGCAGGTGCTGGGGACAGACATATGAGGTCCCCAAATTCCCACTCAATCTGGCTTCCACGAGGACCCTCTGGTGACAGGGGAAACTGTGGCCTGTGCCCTCATCTCTAACTTGGGGGCACAGGGCAATGAGCACCCGAAGGAGGTAGGGGCCGAGGGGTGAAGCAGGTGTGATCGCCCACGAGAGCTGAGGAGGCTGTGAGCGAGTTTGAGGACAGGCCCGGGGTCCTCAGAGGAAGCCTTCAGGCCGCATCATCTTTATTTTTAATTAAATGTATCGGGGTGACATTGGTTAATGAGATGACATAGGTTTCAAATGTACGATTCTATGACACATCCCCTATGTATTGCATTGCGTGCCCACCACCCAAAGTCAGATCTCCTTCTGTCACCGTATATTTGACCCCCTTTACCCTCTACTACCCCCTCCCCCTCCCTCGGTGACCACCCTGCCGACGTCTGTGTCTACGAGTTTGGGTTTGTTTTTCCGGTTTGTTCATCGGCTGCCTGCAGTTTCATACCCCACATGTGAGTGAAATCGTACCGTTCTTGACTTTTTCTGTCTGACTTACTTCGCTTGGCTTGATATTCTCAAGTTCCAACCGTGTTGTTGCAAATGGCCGCAGCTCACCTTCTCTTATGGCTGAGCAGTCTGTACTCCATTGTCCACATGTACCACATGCATGCAACATGCATGTGCCGAGACATGGGGACAACTGAAGTGTCCTCTGACAGATGACTGGGTGAAGAAGACATGGCCCACTGTGAGTCAGGGCAGACGCCTTCACAGGGGGCTCCGGGGGCGTTCAGACGTGGCCTCGCGCTGCAGCGGCATCAGAGTCGGCTTTCCGTCACGGCCCAGGAATGCATGGGCACCGCTGTGGCGTCTCCTCACCTTGACCTCTGTACAGCAGATGACAATCAGCTTCCTCCTGGCTGGCCTGCCGGTGGCCTGGAGCCAGAGCCATCAAGCTGGACTTCTTACTCAACCCATTTGACGTCTGCCATCCTGGGGGCCTCGTCTTATCGATGGCCTCCTGCCACAACGACAGCCACCTCACAGCCCTCCCCTCTGTGCGCACGATCGTCCCTAGTGCCGTCTTCTGCTCTGCCACAGAGGTGCCACCATGAGTTTAAAGTAACCAGCATCTTTATTGTCCACACCAGCATCCAGCACAGCCTTGTCGTCTGCATCTCAGGCTCGCTCATCTCCACCAAGGTGACAGGTCCCTCATTCCTATTGCTTCCGTCGTCACCAGCGCCCGTGTTAACATTACCATCGGCAGCACTACCACCCTCCTCCCCAACATACCCCTCACATGTTCATCACCCAATCACCTCCCGAACTCGTCCGTTTTCTATAAAAGGACTCAGCGGGTGGTTCGCAGACCTTCAGACAGACCCCGTGGTGTCCCCATCATTGGCGCTGCCCTGGGAACCCTGCAGGTGAAGGGCTCACTCTCATTGGACACAGAGTTGTAGAAGAGGGGTGGACACAGCCCTGCAGGGGCAGCTTGCTGTGGGGAGCTGGCCCAGGGCAGGGCGAGCGTGGGCAACTCCTGGGGAGCCGATGCTGGGGACTGGCTGCAGGGGTAAGGAAGGACAGGACCGTCACTCGTGTGTCCTTCTTACGAACTGATGAGTACTTTCCCCAAGCACCTCTCCTGCCCCAGGCGCCACGCTGGGCCTCTGCCATTCCGTGCACCACTTAACCAATCTCGGGGACAGGACAGTGCTGTCACCAGTTCACAAATGAAGACACTGGGGCTTCCGAAGTTCTGGTTATTTTCCCAAGTCACACAACCTACGAGTTTAGGCCTGAGGTTTAAATCCAGATGTAATCTCGAATCTACCCTGAAGCAGTGGGGAAAATGCCCAGATAGGTGCATGGCATCAGATGGAGGGCACTTTGACGGTGACTGACATTTAAACATGTAAGAATAAATACACAAGTTTTTGTAAATAAATTCTGTTTTCTGGGGTCCCTCCTCACACACTTTGGGGTCAATAAAATAAAGGAATTCTGTCCTGTTACACGGTCTTTCTATCCCGAATGGGTAAGACGACAAGAGACAAAGTAAAATGAACACAGAAAGCTGTCAAAGTTCATGAAAAAGAAATCTGAGGAGGGGATGTTATGTGTAATCCAGCTAATTTAGTTGAATAAATTCCTTAAAAAAAAAGATTTTATTTATTTATTTTTAGACAGAAGGGAGGAAGAGGGAAAGAAGTATCAATGTGTGATTGCCTCTCAAGGGCCCCCTAGGGGACCTAGCCTGCAACCCAGGCATGTGCCCTGACTGGGAACCAAACTGGGGACCCTTTGGTTCACAGGCTGGTGCTCAGTCCACTGAGCCACACCAGCCAGGACATGTGATTGCAGACAGTCCTTCATAGGTGCCTGCAGGGAAGGCGTCAGCCTTCCATTTTACACGCAGGACACTGAGCCCCATACAAGGTATGGGGACTCCTGGACACCTCAGAGGGTGACAGTGGCAGAATGAGTTCCTTGTCTTCACGCAGAGGCAGACATCTCTGAGTCACTCCGGGAGAGGTGATCTCTGACGGTGGTGGGACAGAATACCCAGTACCACTTACTGCGCATGTGCTGCGCATGTGCTGTGGCCAGCGTTGCATGTATATCTCCATCTTGAAACCTTACTCATTTTAAAGACAAAAAAAGCTGAAGCTCAGAGGCTTAATTTCATCTCCAAGGTCACATAACCGATAATGGCAGGAGTCAGGATCCAAATTCAAGACCCTCTGACTCCAAAGACGGTCCTCTGAAAAAGGTTTGAAAGCTGTGCCCCCAAAGACCCCGGGGATCACGAAGGGGCACTTGGGTGCTTCGCATAGGGAAGCTCGGCTTTTCATGGTTTTGTTTTTTTTTTTTTTTTCAGAGACAATGTAGAAAAAAATTTTGTGCAAGAAATTTGTTTTGGATAATATTTATATCATGAATTCCTCAACTGCAAGTTGCGGGGGGGGGGGGCGTGGTGGAGAGGTAGTGAGGGCTGAGAAATGCCATTGGATTTGGAGATGAGAGAGTTGGTGGTGTCCTGGGCATGGGCGGTTAGATCTCACTGGCTCCTAGCAACAGAAACTCATTCTGGCTATTCTAAGCAGAGAAGGACTTTGTGAGAGTGGTGTGGGCATGTCGTGGGCACCTATTGTCCCTTCATAATAGTAGCCTTAAGTGTGCCCCTCTTGGATTCTTCATCTGCTGGATTCTTCAAACCAGCAGAACTGGGGGGGAAGCTAAAAGAATCCAGCTTGGGAAGATGGTAAACAAGGCAAAACTGAGGTCTCCCCAGGGCCCCTGTGAATGAGCACCATACACGTCCAGGTCTTCAGTCATTCATTGCGCAAGGTTAAAATTCCACGGAGAGCTCCTCTTTGTCTGGTGGTAGGGCAGGCCCCCTTTAAAAAAAAATCAGCAGGCCCCCCTGACTCACCTGCTCTGGGTAGAGGGAGAGCCATTCTCCGAAAGCCAAATCAGGGTCCTTGTTATCAGGAAAACAAAGGAATGCTAGGCGACAAAACCATAAAATAGACGATAACACTCAGAGAGGTTTCCATCAAAGTGAAGGAAGTTGGTGCAGGTCCAACGGTCCAAGAGGATAAGGCCCCATTGTGCGGCTGAAGACACCCTGTTCGTTCCTGGGAATTTTTGAAATCTTCAAGATTAACTTGTTTACAGTCACCTTAGAGTGGGTGTGCCTACATCTGACTAATATCGCCTCTCATTGTAAACCTTTCCTCTTTTCCTAGTCCCTTTCTTTCTTTTCTTCTCCGATAAATATTATTTTAGGCTCATAAAGTCAAGTCCAAAGCTTTCGATGCATCATCTGTGCTGACCTCAGATGTGGCTGTGTGCGCAACATTAAAATCACTGGGACCGAGTGTCTCCTTCTGATTGGCTGTGTTTCCTCTGCTTAGTAAGTCACTTTGCAGAGCTGAATTTCAGTGTCTTTAATACGTGAATAATAGTACTTAATTCATAAGAGTGTTAAGTAAATGCTAGCTGCCTTACACTGAACACTAACTGTGCAACTACCCCAGAGGTCACAATTTTACATGTCCTCCAGGCCAGGCAAGTAGTGTGAACAGAAGTAGTTATTGTGGGCGTGAGGGCATGTGAGACAATAAGGAAGAGTGGAGATTATAGGAAAGTGGAAAGAATTCTGCCCTCATAAAATCAGAGCAGATCTACTTAACTGTAGTTAATGGTTTTCAAAGTATGATAAGGTAGTGATACTTGACCACTGGTATCAGCATCACCCGAAAACTGGTTGAAATGCTAGTTCTCAAGTCCCACCTGTCAAGTTCAAAAAAGAGTCTGGAGGCTTTGCTAGAAATAAATGATACCCCCTAGCTGGTAGAGCTCAGTGGATTGAGCAGCCTGCGAACTAAAAGGTCACCAGTTTGATTCCCAGTCAGGGCACATGCCTGGGTTGTGGGCCAGGTACCCAGCAGGGGGCGTGTGAGAGGCAACCACACATTGATGCTTCTCCCTCTTTCTCTCTCTGTGTACAAATAAATAAATAAAATCTTTAATATACATATATTCAGTTTCTTTTAAAAAACAGAAATAAATGACAAAGGTTTATTAAGAGTTTTGGGGTTTGCAAACTGAAAACAAAATTAGGAAAAGACACAGAAGTGTTTTAAAGAAGAAAGGAAAGTTAAGAGTTCTTATAGTAAAAGCACAATCTTGAGAATGATCAGTCCTGCATTCTTCGATTGATTCAGGATGGTTATCAGATGCCAGGCGGTCTGGAGGATGAGTGACAGGAGGTCTGGTCATGCCCGGTGACCTGGACAATGGCTGTCAGGCGGTCTGCCTCCAGGAGCCCCTCAGAGGGTAATCAGAGGGCTGCCTAGAGGTTTCATACAGATCCAGGCATTGATTGATGCAGGACTAGAAAGTTCAAAAGTTTAAGTTCCCAAGCTCGTTAAAGCAAAACCAGAATAGTTTCCTCCTATCTCAACCTACTTACTACATTTTAGTCATTTAGCAGCTTGACTACAGTGGCTCCATTTTATTTCTTCCATCTAGTCCTCGCATCCCAGACTTACTGAATCAAAACTCTGGGGGCAGAGATCTCCAAATCTGTGTTTTAACGAGCTCTCCCAGTGAGTTGAGACCCACTTACTGCTGCGTAAGACTGAAGAACTGTGTCGCCCGATCTTTTACTTTTTCTAAGAGAAGCTAGAGATTTATTTGTCTTTGAAATCCCCCACTTTCAAATCTTGGCAACATATTCAAATGTTAAAATATATGGTGTGTCCTAATAATAGACATGTTTTAGCCAGGTTTGCAACCTCTGGTTTATGCTTTTCCCCTTACTACAACACAGTTATGATGAACCTCTTTTATAGAAGAACGTATCAGTCCAAGAAGTGAAATGTTGCTCTCAGTCAATAGCCAGGATTTGGACCTGAATGTATTTGGTTCTAAAGCCTCTGCTTTTCACCTTTTATGTAGAAGAGAAAATACAGAAGGGTCCCTAGCGCAGAGACCAGCATCACAAAAGTGAAGCATCTTTTGCTTGCCAAGGGCTGTCGACTGATGAAATTCTGTTCCGCATCCCCTGCCCCACCCCATATGGCTGCCTCAGGCTAATCCTCATTCCTGGAAAAGAATGCCCGTCACCCCCAGGAGGGCCAGGGAGTGGTGAGGCTGGGCAGTTTCCTGGCTCGAGGAGCCTGGTAGGTCCCGGATGAAAGCTGAAGGCAGCAGAACCGAGGGCTGAATATCCAGAAGCCAGCTGGATCCACAGGCTAAAACCGGCTGCTCACCAAAGAGTCCTCGGTGTGCCCTCCACTGGGTTTCAGGAGCTCCCCCATCTAGCTCCTGCTTCATTGCTGTTGATTTCTCTAAGCTCAGAGTCAACAGTCCTGGCCCCTCCCAGTGAAGGCCAGTTTCTAGTTCCCCTGCCTGGGCATGGGAAGTTGGGGGAGGCACTCTCAGCCTTACCCATCTGCAGGGACAGTGGCTGGAGGTGAGCCCACTCACCTGTCATCCCAAGGGTCACTGCCCCAGACCCGCTTATAGCCTTCAGCAGCAGAGAGTTCCTGGTGATAGGGGAAGCAAAAGTTAGGAAATTTTAGCTTATGGTAAATAGTTATAAGCTTAGTAGGTTAAAGCTATTGTTTCAGGAACTGTCCATAAGGCCCATCCTGACTCCTGGGAGACACAGCCATCTTGGGGAGCACCGCTAAGGACTACCGCCTGGGAACAAGTGGACACATCCAGGGCATGGCGTTCCAGGGAGAGACAGACAACCGCCAGCTCGCCTGCCTGCCCGGGGACAGCTAACTGTCCAGGGCGAGGATACTGCAGTTTTTTAAATCTAATTACCCTGAATTTCAAAACTCACCACTGCACGTGGCTCTCTGTTATTAAAAGGCTGGCCTGGAAGGAAACGTAAGATGTTCCATTAGGGTGGGAACCCACAGCCTTCTCAGATCTGGGCCGTCTGGATAAAGTGCCCATAAAGATTCAATCCCTGTCTCTGCTTATTGCCTTGGTATGCGACAGGCAACACCAACACCGGCTTTTCCGGGTTCCCTGGGACTTAGAGAATCTCTGAGCACCGGAGCAGGAAGGATATCTTGTCTAACTCCCCGTGTAACTCTGTCTCGGCATTTGCCAGCCCGGAGTGTAAAACTTGGTGCACACTTATCAGGGCCCTCAGTCACCGCAGACAGCATTTACCGTTACATGTATCTCTGGACTGGCCTGCCGTGCCCACCGTGCGAACCCAGCCCTCCATGAAGACACAGCTCTTCCATGCCAGGAAACTGCCTTTGTGTTCTCGTTGCATTCTGAAACTATTACCGCCTTCGTAACCGACAAAACGACAGCTCAGGACCAGAAGTGATTCCTCCGAGGCCCCACAGTGAGACAGTGGTCGAGGTCATCAGGCCCACACCCTGTCACCTGGAGACCGGGGCCAGGAGGTTCCTTTGATTGCTTCTTTCTGAATCAGGTGTCTTGCCCTCTTGCCCAACAGGCCTCACGTAGTGGGCACCTAGAGAATATTTATGATGGCGCAGGAAAGACGGGGCCTTGGAGAGGAAGACCTGGATTCAGCACTTTGTCCCCACAGAGCTCCGTGGGAGCTTGCTGGGGAGGGGCCTAAACCTCCCAACGCCAGTTCATCGGTCAAGTACAGCTGACAACTCTCTGTCCACAGGGTTGCTGGGAAGATCCCTGAGACCCGTCAGTCAGTCAACAAGCACAGACAGGCACACAGTCAGCCCTGACAGGTGGTTGGTGTGGAAAAGAGAGGAAGAAACCCACTCCCCAAATGGCTGGAGACCACTGGTAGGAGTTTCACCTTTATGGACCTCAGTTGCTTGTGTCAAATGGGTTCATTTATTCATAAATGCTTTTTTTTGTGTGTGTGTAGGGGTTACTATGTGCTCTATATCCCTACACTAGACCTCCATCGCTAATCCCTACAGAGGGATCTGTTCTGATCTGGCTGACCCCAAGCCCAACCACTTAATCCCCAGGCTTTATAACCTCCCTGTGGGCCCAGCCCTTTCCCCCTCCTCCGCCGACCCTGGGCATTATGGGAGACCCCCGAGTCTCGGAATGGGAACCCAGGAGGCCCGCGGCCCTGCCCTCAGGCCCCAGGAGGGAGGAGGGGAAGGGGAAGTGGACAAGGGTCCGGCTGCGCCAGCCTGAAAGCTGATTAAGTTCCTGGTTCCCACCGGGCCAAGAGTGACACCTGATCCCAGGGGATTGTGAAATGGCAGGAGGTGGCCGCCGGCCGGTGGTGCACTCTGCCCCCCCCCCCCGCCGGCTCGGCCCCGCCCCTACCCCACGGCCCCAGCGCGCGCGCACGGTTAAATCCCCCCATCCCGACGGCGGCGGCTCTCACCTGCACCCCGCCGGGCGCAGCACCATGACTGCCGGCCGCCTCGGTCCGCTCGTCGCCCCCCTGTTCCTGGGCCTGGTGCTGCTGGGCTTTCCCCTGGGCACAAGTGCGTGGATCAGGGAGAGGCCGGACGACTGGAGGACCGGACCAACAACGTCAGGTGGGAGCTGGGCAGAGGCGTAGCCTCTCTGCAGGCGGGGGAAGTGCGATTTCTGGGGCGGAAGTGGGGAAACTCAGGAAGACTAAAATTTGGGGGTCCCTGGTGCCTAAGATGGTGACCCTGGAAATGTAGGGTGTGGGGTCCAAAGTACTGGGGGCGGTGATACCACTGAAGACTGAGATTTGAGGGGGGAGGCTTTGTGCTGAAGGTGGAGAATGTGACCGCAGGGGGGACCCTCTGCCTAGACATCGGTAGCTCCGACATGGCCAGCTGTGTGGGGTCCCCTGGGGAGAGAGGGCTCTGGAACCACGGGTGAGATAACTCCTGTACTCCCCGGGGTCGCGGGCCCCTGTCCTGGCAGTGGGGTCTGCTGTAAAGGGGGCGCCTAGGGCCAGACTGAGAATTCCTTGAAGCTTGAGATTTGGGGTCCTCGGAGCAGTGGGTGGCTGTCCTCTGGGACAGGCGCTCCAGGCTCCCGCTGACCGTCCTCAATCTCCCCTCCCAGGCGCAGAAGCAGTGAAAACGGGCGTGTGCCCCAAGCTGGGGAAGGACCCGAACTGCACGCTGGAGTGCAGCTCCGATGGAGAGTGTGCCGGCAACCTCAAGTGCTGCCAGGCCGGCTGCGCCTGGGTCTGCCACTTGCCCGATGGTAACTCCTGGGCGCCCGCACGGGGGCGGGGCGGGGCGGGGCGCTGGGAGGAGGCGCGAGCGAGCGCCGGGGTTGGAGGAGGAGGGACGCGCGGGACCCCGGGACCCCTGGCAAAGTCCAGGCGGTTGGAACCAGATCGGTCCGAGCTCGCCTTGCCCTGGGGAGACAAAGGCGTCACTGAGGCGCAGCGGGAGGTCAGGGAGGCCCCCACCCCTACCTGTATTCCATTCTCTGGTGCGTGACGGGCTTCCGGCACGCACAACAGGGACGTTGTTCTGCAGGTTAGGGGACTGGGTTTCGAAGTTCACTCACCCACCGGGTGGAGCCGCGGGGAAGCCCGAGCTGGCAGGCAGCTGGGTCCCAAGGCCCGGGGCCTCTGCCAGCCCCCGGGGAAGGCCTCGGGACTCCTGGCCTGGCAAGACTTTCCGAATTACTCCCTCCAGACAGAAGGAAATCTTACAGATTGAGTGAGGAGAGAGAAAAAAGTTCTTGCCCAAGATCGCACGTTGACTCAGCAGGAGGCGTAGCCAGGGGATCCGACTGTTGTCCCTTGGTTTGAAGAAAGCCAGGACTCTTCCCTGAACAGGGCCCTCCCTTACTCATTAAAACAAACCCTTCCACTCTAGGGACTGAGGGACAGAGTGTGTGAGAAAGCCCCGGCGCTCCATAAACAGTGTTCCCGAGAGCCCCTCCACTAGAGCTCCGGGACCCCCATAAGAGCGGAGAGTGGCCTTAGATGGCATGGAATCCAAGCTTCTTGTTTTCCTCAGGAAAGAACTGAGGACTAGAGGCAGGTCTCTGCCCTGGGGAACCAATGCGTGGTGATTACTAGTCCTTCTCCAGAGTATGGATGGCCCTTGTGGTTTCTCCTCTTTGTTCCTTCTCCAAAGATGCCAGCAGGGTCTGGGAAGGTTTGTGGTTAGAGACCTCAGACACTTGGGATCAGAGAGGTGGTGGGTAGAGAAAGGACTGGCCCAGCCCAGGGCAGCTTCTGGATCTGGAGGCCTATGGGCTGGACCAGAGCCAGGAGGAGCGGAAGGAGAGGTGGAGATCAGGGCCGAAAGCAAGAGGCAGACAGACAAAGAAAGAGAGGAGTCCCCGCTGCTAGGTGGGGTCTTTGCTGTTCCCTTGTCTCAGACGGACAGACTGAGACAGGAAGATGGCCAGGCTGGGGGGCCTCCTGAACTGGAATCCTGGTCCTGTCACCTGCTAGTCACATGACCCTGAGCAAGTTGCCTTACCTCTCTGGGACTCTCTACTTTTCATCTCTCGCTCAAACTTTGTAGGAGCCTCATGAGGGCTAAATAAAATAATCTGTGTAACACATCGTAGTAGAGCGTAGGTGCTCCAGACACAGTGCCTTGTTTTATTAGGAAACCGCTGGGCAGCCAGCCGGGTATCCAGAGAGCCCCTGCCCTTTTCAAAGAAATGGATGTCTTCGTGCTAGGAAGTCAGCCTCTCCTGTCCTCGGCAGCCAGTTGCCGACCCTGTGCCTGTGTTTGGCATTGAGTGGGCTTGCTCCTGGAGCTTCTGGGAGTGAGCTGAGTTCACCTGTCCATGAGCCAGGAAGCGGGGCCCGGTGTATGCGGGGAGGTGGCAGGGAAGGACAGATGTTGGAAGGCTGGGCCCAGGTCTAGAGAGCTGTGTGGTGCTGGGTGGTGCCTTCACATCTCTGCCTCATTTTCCTCATCTGTGACAGGAACAGGGTTAGAAGTGTCCCCAGCAGAGGAGATACTTGTTGTGAGGATTGAAGGAGATAGCGGGTTTACCCGAAGAGCACGTCTCTGCAGCCTTGGCTGCGTGTGTGTTAGTGGACGGCTGCTTGCCTTTGCACGGTGCTCTGTGGTTGCAAATGGGAGTGAGCGATGGGAGTGAATACAGAGAGTGTGGGTGTGTAATCCCTCCCCTGTGCACCGCGCTTTGCAGTTTACAAAGCAGTCGAGCGCATGGCGTGTGGACTCTGAAGCCAGATTCCTGGCTTTCAGATCCTGCCTCTGTCCTATATGACCTTCAGCAAATTACTGAACCTCTTGTGCCTCAGCTTCCTCATCTGTCACAGGAAGAAATACTAACAATACCTCTCCTGCTCTTTTAGGACTATTGTGACAATTAGATGAGTTTATATACAAGTTAATACACATCGAGTGTTTAGAATAACACAGAGAAAGAGCTAAGTAAATGTGATTTGTTGTAATCACTCGTTTTTATTATGACTGCAAAGGAGTTTGGCTTTTCAGGGAGAATTAATGCAGGTGTATCGCCTCCGTCACTGTTACAACCACCTCGTGATGTAGGCAGCGTAGTTCTTCCGCAACACCCAACCCACAGCGGCTCTGGGAGATTTCTGGCCCAGGCCACAAAGTTGGAAAAAAGCAGAGCTGGGACTCACCCTGGGGTCCTGTGATTCTGAAACTGGTGCTGAGGCGGAGGGGTTTGCGGGGGGGGGGGGGCAGCGCTGGGAGGGCAGGCTGTGGATCGCCTCTGGCATCTCCCTCCGCCCACCCCACTCCCCCACTCCTTTGTCTCCACAGAAAAGCCGGGCTCCTGCCCCAAGGTGGACCTCCCCTTGACTCCGCTTGGCCTCTGCCGGGACCAGTGCCAGGTGGACAGCCAGTGTCCTGACCGCATGAAATGCTGCCGCAACGGTTGTGGGAAGGTGTCCTGCGTCACTCCTGTCTTCTGAAGTAGGTGGGTGGGAGGAAGTGATGCCCACAAGTGATGGCACCTGCCGGAGGTGGAGAGGGAGGGGCTGGGCCAGCACACTGCCCTTCACTGATCTGCTCGTTTATTTACCTTCCTCTGCTGGACAGATACTTACTGAGCAGCTGTCATGGGCCATGCTCCGCTTCGGGGCTGGGGATGCTTCATGCGGGAACTAATCAGAAACATCTCTCTGATGGGGATTCTGGGTAGCAGAAAAGCAAAATAAGAGGCACAGTCTGCAGAATGTTAGAGAGATAAGTGTCATGAAGCAAAAGACAACCAAAGGGGGATAAGGAGTACTGGGGTCGGGTGGGGGTGGGCATCGGGTGGGCCGGGAGCGACATTGCAGGGTCTTACACGGAGCCAGCAAGGGCACGACCAGCTGCAACGCTGACTGGGGGAGCCTTGAGGACTCGGGGACAGCACAGCAGCAGCAGGGACAAAGGCAGGGACCTCCTGGTGCATTTCAGGAAAAGCCAGAGGCTGGAGCGGGTAAGAGGAGAGGGATGGGTAAGGGAGCAGCTCCTTAGGGGCTGACCGGCCATTGTGAGGACTTTGGTCTTGAGCCAGACATGTTGCGCCCTTGGAAATGGACATGCTCTGACTTAGATTTGAAAAGGCTTGCTCTGGCTGCTGTGTGGAGAACAGACCGCAGGGGCAGCAGCAGAAGCAAGGGGGACAGCCAAGAGGCCCCCACAAGGAGCCAGGGTAGGGGGAGGGTGTCGAGGGGTGTGAAGTGGCTGGTTTGGGGACATAGGTGAAGGTAGATGATGAGTTGGGCAGTGAGGGAAAGAGAGATTTACCCTTTCACTTCCTTAATGCCACAGCACTTACCTAAGTCATCAGCAGGAGGAGCCGCCCTGTCGTGGGAGGGGGCACGGGCTGGAGGGCCCCTGGGGAGGCAGGAAGTTCCGCAGGGCCAGCAAGAGACAGAAGAGTTGATCTTTACTTTTGCCAAGAAGCTTGGCTTTCCAGGATGAAGGTGGTAGAGGTCAGTGAACCTCAGTGTCCTCCCTCGAATGTGCGTCTGAGCTCAACACAGCTCAGGGATTGCATGGGGTTGCATGGGGCCCCCTCCAGGGGTTCTGACAGGAAAAGGACTGTGGAGCCCTCCCATCCCCATCTGTAGTTAAAAATAAACCAGGATTAAGTCCTAAAGAAAGCACAAGGAAACAAAGCAAAACAAAACCCGACTACGGCTCCGTCAGCCCACTGAGTGACCTGGTACCGTGCCGCCAGCTCTGTGCCTGGTGCCAGGACAGAAGGTGACCGCTGCCCTTCCTCACAGAGCTGGCAGCCGGTGGCTGCAGTAGACAGAAGGACGGACCCTCCCAGTGCCTGTAGTCGGTGCTGTAGAGGAAGCAGAACAAACAAGAACCTGGAAGTGCACTTCGGTTGCAATCTCAGTGTTGATCTGCTGCCTTTGACAAGGTCTCAGCCAAGGGCCTGGCAGGTCACAGTGGAGCCCAGTTGGCATGGATAAGACGGAAGCCCAGAGAGAGGGGAGGATGAGCCCAAGGCTCCTGTTCCGAGGCATGACTTCAGAGCCTGCGAGGGGCCCAAGGTCTCCCCAGGGCACAGCTTGCCGGTGATCCCAACCCTGCCTTACCTCCGAGACCACCCACAGCAAGGCCAGGCGTTTTCAGTCAGGAAGACACAGGTTCGATTTTCAGCTCCGACACTTAACTAGCCTTTCACCTGAGCAGCAATTATTTTACTTATAAAAATGAGATAAATAAGATTCCTTTGATTCGATAACCCCAGCTTAACCCAAAGGACAGAGGCCTGGTGGGACTCCCTGGTGGTAAATGCCCATGGCTGCTCAGAAAGGCCGGTCAGGACCATGGGTTGGCCAGGTACGTCCTAGGGATGGTCTGAAGCGCAGGTGAGTGACCTGCAGAGAAGAGTACAGGCAGAGCCCTGGGGCCTCTGGAAGGTGACGTGTGTTTTTGTGTGTGCAAGTTGGGAGGTGTGATGCACACACAAGACGAGAGCTGCCGGGGGAAGCTTTGGTCCAGAATTTACCGGTAAGCGGCAGGTATTCTCGTCCAGGGTATTGTTGTGGATGGTTTTATTATGATTTTCTCCCTCCAGTTTCAGCCACCGCAGCCCGAGGAATGAGGGAGTGGAAGTTTCTGCCAGGCCCTGCCTGGCTCCAGCCCAGCCCCATCTGGCTCCAACCCAGCTGCCTTCCCCTCTCTCTGGCCTCTGCACTCCCTCCTGTGCTGGCCACAGTTTCATTTTCCAGCCAATAAAGTGACCGCTTCCAGCACCGGTGGGGCTGTGACCTCCGTTCTTATCATTCTGTCCCCGCCTCCCCCGACCCTGGGTTGGGATGGGATGGGGGAGCAGCCAGACCCTCCAGGCACAAAGCCCAGGGAGGGATCAACTCTGAAACAATGAACGTATTTTCATGGCTTGCCTCACGGGCAGGGGATGGTTATTCTCCCAGGATGATGGAAGAGAAAACGGAGGCTCAGAGATGATGAAATAGTGCTCAGGCCGCTCCGACTCATTGCTGGGGCTCCTGATGACCCAGCAGCAGGTGCCACCCGCGCCAGATGCCGGGTGCAGAGGCTCCCTGGTGAGGTCTGGATCCAGGAGACCACCCAGAGCGGTCGACGGCAGGCCCGTGGTACAGACCAGGACTCCTACATGGACCACAGAGAAAAAACGTGGCCAAGCTGGGTTCTTTGTGGTTACTGTTTTAGGTCAAGCCATTGTTGGGTATAAACAATACATTTGTATGGATCAAAATGTAAACGATAACAATGAAAGGCAGCTTTCACCTTGGACTCCCCGCCTCTAACCCCAGCTGCCCAGTGGGTTTCTGTGCGTGCAGGCGAGGTCAGTTCCTGTGTTTGTTTCAGAGCTGCTCTGGCAGCTCTCGTCCAGCTTCCAGCTCTTCTCTTTCTCTCTCGTTTCCTCTTTCCTCCCCTCTGTCCCTTAATCTCTCTCCCCTGCATTTCCCCCTCTTCTCTCTTACTTACTCACTTCCTTTTTTCTTTCTATTTCCCCCTCTTTCCATTACTTTTCTATCTTCTCTCCCCCCCCATCTGGCCTCTTTTTCTATACCCTCTATTTCCCCCTTTATCCCCCACTATTCTCTTTCTAGCCCCCATCCCCTCTATTCTTTCTCTGTCCCTCCCTGTCCCCCTCTCTCTATCACCCCTTTTCTGTTCCCCTTTCTCCGTGGCCCTCCCCCTTACCTTCTCTCCCTCCCCCTGCCATTCAGTACCCACAGGTGTTATAAACACTGTCTCCTTTACACCTGATGACACCCTTAAAGAATGGTGTCTAGCATCGACTTCATCATGCAGACTGGGGAGAATGGGGAGGCCCTGAGAGGCACAAAGGCTTTTTCAGGACGCAGAACTGGGAAGAAAACAGAGGGGTGAATTCAGCTCTCCTCCAAGCTGGGAAGCTGGTACATTTCCCGGGAGCCGTGTTGGATATTGGCGTATAGGTACAGAGATGACCATGGGCCGGGAGGGTGAGCAGTCAGCAGTCCAGAGGGGGCTTTGTGTGGCTCTGATTGGAAAAAGGGACCCAGGTGATTAATGGGACCTTGAGGGGTGAGTCACTTCCTTGGTGACAGACCCCCCACAACGGAAGTTAGAACTCTGGTAACCCACCGGACCCCGCTATGCAACTCACTTAACCGCTTGCTGTTTCCTGACTGTCTGAGGCTCAGGGCTGAGGACAGCCCAGGGTGTCAGCCCAGAGTGGAGCGTTTGTGGCTGTGGATATTTGCACAAAGCTCGCCTCCAATACCTCCGGCTATTTGGCACCAGGCACCCTCAGGTGACAGAGCAGCCCCAGGGCCAGCCCATCCAGGCCGGGCCAGGCTCCCACCGTGCTCCCACCTGGGCAGCCCTCTCTCTCTTTCCCCCCTCTCAGGACCCCCTCTTGTTCTTCTGCATACACCACCCCTCTCTGTTCCTTTACACCTGTTTTTCTTTCCTTCTCGCCCCTCCCTATCTCTCCCTCTCCTTCTTACCCCTCCCTCTCTATGTTTCTTATCTCTATCTCTACCTAGGAATACAATTCTCATCCGCCCCACCTTTTTCCATGAATCGTACCCTGTACACATTGTTCTGTATCTTGTTTTCTTCACTTAATGTATCTTAAGGATCACTCCATGGTGAAGGGTAAAGAATTTCTTCATTCTTCGCTGTGGCTGTGGAGCATCCCATTGTTGAGATGCACAGAATTTATGTAACCGCCCTTCTTCCCAGACTGTTCGGGTTGCTTTCAGCCCTGTACTGGCCTAGATTTGAACCCGAGTCACCTGACGCCACAGTCCCATGCTCACTCCACTGCTGTGATTTTTCACTTTAACCCACGGAGCCTGTGCTTAGCCTTTGGGCTGAGAATGAGGGAAAAGACACAAGTGATGGCAGTGACCCTGGCCCCTAGGACAGCCTTTATGCCTCCTGTTGCTCCACCCGCTGTGGAGTGTGAGGGATCGGGGCAGATGGCTTGTGACGGTCTGGAGACAGAAGAGGTCAGCGGCCTGGTGTCTGGCCAGTCTGACCTTATCCTCTCGTGGGTCCCAGCCCCAGGCCCTGAGCTGGGCGGGGCTCCTCCCTCCACCCCCTGGGGTACAAGGTGAATGGGTCTCCTGGATGGGAGTGGCAGTGCTCAGGGCATAAGGCTGTCCCCTGGCAGGAGATGGCAGTGTCGCTTCCTTTCTAACTTTCCCTTTTCTTATTTCTGTCCTTGGTCATGCTTGGGTCTTCCCAGCCCTTCTAGGTAGAAACAAAGGCAGCAGTGATGGGCTGGGTAGAGCCGTTGGGACTAAATGTGTGGCTGCCGGCCCCCCACTTCCTCCAGGTGTGCGTTCTGAACAAGCACGCTGGGCAGAAGGTATTCGGGGTAGTGCTGCATAGGTATCATGCAAGTAGTGAGCTGAAGGAAGGAAGACAGGAGCCATGTGACAATCCACAGGGACAGCTGTCCAAGTCAAGGAAACTTCCAGAGCTAAGGGCCTGAGGTCAGTGTGCCGTTTGGGGTGTTTGAGGCTGGCGAGAATAAATGGTCAGGAGCACAGGGGAGAGGAGGTAGGAGACGTCGTGTGGGCACAGATTACAGAGAGCCCTGTGGTCACTGCTAGGACTTTGCCTTTTATTCTGAGTGAATTTAGGAGCCACAGGAGGGGTTTGAACAGAGCGACGACCCCCGTTGGAAAGAGATCCATCTGGCTGCCATGCTAAGAGTAGACTCTAGGGAGCGATGTGGAAGCTGCAAGACCAGTTAAGCTACGGCAGCAAGGGAGACACTTTGAAACTCTGTAAATATCCTATTACTTGTCAGAATTTTACTTCCTAGTTTTTAACATTCGTGGATGATTCTTGCCAGAATCGATGACTATTTAATGGTTGCTAAACAATGGTTTTCTAATTCTACCCTTTTAAGCTCTTTTTCGGCTTTCTATCTCTAGCTACAGTAGGGGGTTGAGATCTCTCCTCTGAGTTTGGTTAAATGGCCTATGCTGGGGTTCACTCCATCTCTGTGGTATAATGTCCTGCTCCCAAGAGGGGCTTACCCCTAGAAGGCACCCATTCTGAGCAGAGCTTGGGGCCCCTTTTTTCCCCTCCCTTCCGTCCTCCCCTCCTCCCTCCCTTCCTTTCTTCTTTCCCTGCTGTCTCCCATAATTCAGCGATGATGAGACTCATAGAATTCCCTTCTAGTTTAAAACCTTAGTTCCCAACACTAAATCCCAGCTTCCTCCTTCCCTCCAGGATATAATCGCTATGAAACTAATCAGCAAGTACTTGCTGATACCACCTTATTCCAGTCATCAAAGTTAGCATCACCAGCAACCAAGCAGATCAGCGTCACCTACTCTGTGCATGTCACTTCTCTGGGCTCAGGGTGGGGGAGAAATGTGCAGCAGGGGTGTCCGAACTTTCAGCCTCTCTGGGCCACACTGGAAGATGAAGAGTTGTCTCAGGCCACACGATAAATACATTGTGACACATAATCACAGAAATGTAAGTCAATTTATGACTTCGTGTTGGGCCCCATTCACAGTCATCCCGGGCTGCAGGTCCGTGGGCTGTAGGTCCCACGCCCCCAAGACCAGGCCCCTGACTTCAAGAACCTCCAGAATGGGAGCCTGAAAATGGAGAGGCAGGCAAGCCCGGAAGACCTCTTAGTGATGTCCGTGGATATGTCCAGGGGGTGTTATGGAATGGAGCGGTAAAGAGGGACTGGGCTGGTCATGGCCAAGCTGAATGTTAATGATAGCAAACTGATGAAGAACGTGGGCGCTGGAGTCACACTTTGAGTCGACACCAGCTTCATTCCTTGCCAGTTTGCTATTTTTGGCATGTAATTTATCTTCCTGACCTTCAACTTCCTCATTTGTAAGATACAGATATTAATAGAATCTTCCTCTCTGGGCTGTTGGGAATATTAAATAAGATGCTGTGTGTTAAGTGTGAAGCCTGGTTCCTGGCACATCGTAAGTGTGTGTCCCACCAGGTCTTTGGAGGGCGGCTGCTTGGTCCCTGGATGGTCTCTACCCTGGCAGAACGGGCCCTAGACCACAGCCAAGAGGGGCTGCAACTGAGCCCCAGGTCAGCTTCCATTTCCACAGCCCAGACTGATCTGTAGACCCGGCTCTGGAGGCCCAGCTGGGGGTTGTGTCTCCCTCCCAATTGAATGTTCCATCTCTGAGTACAGAGGAAGTTTGGGAAAATAACAGGGTGGGCTTTGCAATGCAGAGGAAAATGTCTTTTTCTTCAGTTAGTGATGCTTCTGTTTCATTCCTGCCCTGTGATTTTAGAGAAGTTCCTACCCATCTTTGGCCCTCCATTTTTCCATCTTGATTTAGACAACTGAGCAGATTATAGCCATGTTTTCTCCTTCCCTTCCAAGCTGTAAGAATTGGGGTCACTGAAGGCAAATCAAGGGACTCCAAGACCAGGGCACCTCAATCCTCTCCCCATGCAGCCTGTGGCAGGACGGTGTGGGCTTTTAGAAAGTTTGACTAATTTTTTAATTAAAAATGGCCTTAATATCTTCGGTCCCTCCCCCACTTCCCTTCCTTCTCTGGTTTCTGTTGTCCTCTTGTCTTGCTTCGCAGGACGCCAGAAATCCTTGCCTTGGCCAATGCTGGCCCTCCGTACCACGCTCAGGTTTTCAGCTTAACCACTCTCTCCTCCCAAACCGTTATCCTCTCCTGGGCTAAGCAGGGATTCAAATGCAGTGTGAATAACTGTTCACTAATTTCCCCAGTGTGTGTGCATGTATGTATGTAAAAAA